CCACTCACCTCAGCCTCCCAAAGGCGCGGGATTACAGGCTGAGCCACCCAGCCCGACTTTTTCTCTCTCTTTAAGCACATGAGGTTTAGAGGGGGAAACGGGTATGTTCTTATACCGAGAGGCTCAATGTTCAGTTTCTCCTTGGCTTCCCTGAGCAGCATTCCTTCCTGCAAAGTGTGGGACAGGACCCTCTCTGGAATGAGGTTCTTTGGACGCTCTGTCAGATTAGGGTTCTGCCCTGGGCGAGTGAAAGGAGGACAGGAGAAGGTCAGGGAAGGATTTGGCTTGCCGAGTCCTGAAGCACCTCAGTATTGTAAGGGAAGACTGTGACAAGGCTGTGGGAATTAGGAGTGGAAACTGGAGGGAAACACACCCACGCACACGCACGCGCAAAGTCTTAATGCTGCCTTACCCGAGAGTGTTGCTTCTCTGCGGACAAGCTGGGACTTGAACTCCAAAGTTCATGCCGAGGAACTTCTCTACGAGGACAGCCTGCCGTTCAAGCAAAAGGGGCATTTATGGATCAGGGCAGCTAGGGAGTGACATTTGGACATCAAGCTTTTCTTTTTTGCTTTTGCATACTAGGTTGACATATACATTATTGTGCCATGCCTAACACTTTGTATAAAAATAAACTAACATTAAAACTAAATTAAATGTAATTTAAGGTTTTGCCAGCACCTATCAAAATACTTTTTTCCAATTATGACAGTCTTCATGCAAACCTTGTCTTGATCCCATAACCTTAGGACTGGAATGCTAAGTCTGTACAACTAAATTTCAGATTTCTGGTAAGTTCCTTTTTTGTTTTTAACTTCAGGAACAGCGTATGCCATCTATCAGCTGGCTATGGCTTCGTTTCCCAAGAAGCAGGACTGACTTTATGCACCAGCAGTGGCTTGGATCGGTTTTGTTCAGCTCTCTATGGACCAGTAACCTGACAAGGAGCTCTTCTTTGGGGATCAATATTTATTGACTTGTACTAACTGCCACCAATAAAGCAGTCTTTACCATGCTTTGTCTGATTTTATCAGTCAGGATTCATTACACCAATAGTTTCAGCTTTTGGTCAGCCTTGTAAATCTTACATAAGGTGCAAAAAAAAAATGACGCTTTTGCCGTTAAACTTGTATAGAGCACCATCATTGTGATATTTTAGTGAAATTTTACTTGAAGCAGCTCAGAGTTATTCTTGGATAGTCTTCGGCTTCACTTGAACTTGGCACTTGAAATCGTATTGCTTTCTTCCCCCACCCCCCAGGCCAGCCGAGATGTGCTCGAACCTGGGGGCAGTGGAACAGGTTCTTTGGCTCCTGGGGTCTACAAGTTTCTTTTTTCTCAGCTGTGAGAGAGTTTGCTTAAATATTGGATGTACCCACAGCTTAGAATGGCAAAGTAACTCAATATTTGTTCACACTCAGAATGGATTCAGAGAGGTGTCTTAACCAGAACCAGCCAAGGCGGGATTTCCTGGCTTCCCCAGCTGTCATACCATCTCCTGGGACCACAACTCTCATTTGCCCTAAACTGAAGTTGGGTGCTTAATAAATGGTGGCCATTATTGGCTTCTCATAGCAGGAATATTTAAAGAGACCTTCTTGGGGAACACAAAATGCAAGTAGAGGGAATATAAGAATAATAATAATAAGAACTAGAGTCCTGGTGTACACGGTTGGTCAACCCTTCTGGCTGGCTGAGGTGTCTCTGCACAGAACTGGTCGTTTTAGAAGCTTCCCGTTTGGGATTCCTTACCGGGTCTGATTTTATCACTTAAGATTTGTTACACCAATAATTTCAGCTTTTGGCCAGTCTTGTAAATCTTACATAAGGAACAAAAAAATGATACTTTTGCCGTTAAACTTGTACAAAGTACCATCGTGATACTATTTGATATTATTTGATATCATGGAGAGCAGCCTCTTGTGAACCACTACCTGGGACTTATATGTATATACATCATGATTGGTAATTCAAGTCAACAGGTCCTACGTGCTGACTGTGTACCATAAACTGTTTTTGTGCCTGCACTCATGGGGCTTATGTTGTGATGGCAAGGAAGACAGTTAATTAAAAAGTCATTTGTACAGTATGTTAGAGTCTGTACTGTGGAAAAAAGACCAAAGGGGAGAACTGGTGTGGCTGGTTGGTTGCAGTACTAAGTAGGTGGTCAGTGTTAGACTTCAACTGTCAAATTTGATTTAGAGACTAGAAGGTGAACTAATCAGTCAGATAAAGTTATCCCTTTGTATCTGGGGGGGGGATTTACTCCAGGGCCCCCACAGATTTGAAAGTGCTCAGATGCTCAAGTCCATAATAGGAAATGGCACGGTATTCGCATATGACCTCTGCACATCCCCTGTAGGCTTTAAGTCACTTCTAGATTACTTAGGAGACCTAATAGTGTGTAAGAAAACAAACAAGTCTGTTCAGTACAGATGCTGATGCAAACATTTTTTTTTTCTCATATTTTTTCATCTGTGCTTGGTTGAGTCCACAGATGCGGAACCTACAGATACCAAGGCCAACTGTATATGGGAAAAGGCATTCTGGAAGGAAACAGCCTAGAGTTAACGCCCGAGGTGCCTGCCGTGCTCAGAGAATGGGAAGGCAAGAGCAGATGCCACAGAGTGGGAGAGGGAGAGCAGGTGAGAACCCTGCAGGCTAGTTAGTGTAAGGACCTTGGCTTTTTCTCTGAGTGATACAGGGAGCCATCATGGGATTTCTCACGGAAGAGGGACTTTGCCTGTCTGTTGTGTTAAAATAGACCACAGGAGCCAGTGGTAGAAACAGACTCGTTAAGATGCTTATGCAGCAACCTAGGTAAGGTGAAAGCTAAGAGCCTGTGTTAGCCATGAGGTGATGAAAGTAGATTAAGATCAGAGGAGGGCCATTGCCAAACCATCGCCATCATTGCCTTGCTAGACTTGGGTGTAGCCATGTGCTTTTTGAGCTATGACTGTCGCCATGTTTCCTGGCTTTTGCCCCCTTCCCTACCTTGGGGAGGTGAGTCTCCTCTTTCTCGCTCTCTAATTTACTTTTTAAATAAACTATTTTCTAATCTAAAAAAAAATCAGAGGAGGATATTGACATTCCCTTCCTCATCTGTCCATCCATACATCTATCTGTCCATCTCACACTTATTGGAAGTCTACTTTGTGTCAGGCACCAATCGACTGAGAGGACACAATTGTGAAACAGACCAACAAGCCCCTTCGTGAAGCTTACATTGTGTCATTGGAGACAGGCCACAATGAATTCAGAAGCAATGGTGATGTCCTGTAGCGGGAACTATAGCCAACAGAGTCATCTACTAGTAAAAATAGTAGCTGCAAGCTAGAAAAGGGCTCAGTGACATCTGAACCGAGACCAGAAACAAAGGAGCCAGCCAACAGGAAGAAAGCATCCCAGGGGATGGGAGGTGAAATTGCTGTGCTGGGAGACTTGCAGAAAGAAGATTAGTGTTGATGGAACACAGGAAGCCTGAGAAAGCAACTCTCATCTATTGCAATGACAGACTCCACAAATGGCCACGCCCTGCGCTCAGGCTCTAAAGCGATCTCTCCCGGTTTCATAATATTTTGAAGCACGGTCTGATAAACATTGATTTAGCAGGAATCCCAAACATAAGCTCTACATGTGGACATTCCATCCATCAGTTATCATTACTATTATTAGCAAGAACTAGAAGCTGAGAAAATACAAAGAGAGATCAAATGCACAACGGTGACGTTTGGTGTTCAAACCCAGATCTGTCTTGCTCCATAGTCCACTGTGTGCCTGGTATGTCCCTCGTCACCTCCTACTTGAAGAAAGAAGGAAAGTGCTCAGGATAACCTCCCCAGCTGGTTTCCTAACAGACTTCATTCCCTTTAAACATTGCTGTATCACGATGCTGTCGGATGGATTGGTATCAAACAGCTGGCCATTTGCGAACCCCTCTTCTCTCAGGTTCCTGTGAACCTGGCCGTGCGCCTGCTGTGAGCTCCTAAATCCACTGAAATCTGTCTCCCAGTTGTTGCTCAACATCTGAAAAAAAAAACAGCTACTACAAGTCAGAGATATTTTGAAGGACTCCTTTAATTAATGAGGAAAGCCAATCAAAACTCAAGACATCTTCTAAATTTCTATCCTAGTATAATAAGTATACCGAAGGGGAAAATGATGAAATATTTACAATGGGAATGCATGGAAACTAAGAACTGTCCACTGACATGGTCATTTTTGAAGCCTACATGAAGTCCGCTGAAGGAAAATTGACTCCTAATATTAGATTTTGTGAACTAGTGCTGTAATACGTGTGTGGATGGATTTAACACTGGACTTGAGTATTGATTCCCAGTTATAAGTGTTCTGTTAACATAAGGAAAGATGGACCACATCTTGAATTCTGAGATCATGCCAAATCCCTGGTGACCCTTTGCAGGAGGTGTCATCTTCCCTCGGGGAGCTGCTAAAAATATTCTGCGGCATTATTCCGATGATTAAAGGCCGACACCCCTGTTTGGCCTTGTTTTTCTTTCCAGGCCATTTTATCTCAGTGAATGCAATCAGCAAAACAGGCCGTGGTCACTCAGGCTTGGCTGCCCTTTCCACAGAGCTTCTTCCTAAAACAGGCTCTGCTTTGGGACGGCAGGATGCGAGGAACCATCTTGACTGTTTTGGTGACACAAACATACCTTTACAGCATGCCATTTTCCCATCTTAATTCTATCCTCATGGCAATGAAAGTGATGTCAAAAGTTTTCTTTTCACTTTGGTTGGAACATAGAAGGAATAAACCAGGAGTCAGTCATGGATGAGGAGCTAAGAGTCTCTTTTGCTCACCTTTGTCTGTGTTGATCAATAAAATTCCAGACAAAAGGCAACTAGCAGAATCCCTGCAGGGGATTGAAAGACAGAAAAACTGGCAAAACAAAACAAAACATAAAGATACCTTTCTCAAGAGGTAATTTTGACCATTAGTTTGTTTCTCAAGTCTTGAAAGATTTCCTATCTCATCCCCAAAGCTACAGCAGCCTTGCTTAAATAATTACATTTATGATAGCTGGTTTCCAGATCAAGCCTTTGAATGGATATAATTTTTTTTGTAGGTGATTTTAAGTATGCTGAGAAAGAAAAAGAAATTGACTTCTCTAGAACCCTTAGTAAGTACACCATGCATTTATTATATTGGTATTTAAAAGCCATTTACTGATTATAAAACTCATTCTTACATATAGTAGGTACAAAAAGAAATAAAGAATAACTGTCCTGATGGTGTCCTATGTTCTATGTGTAAATGACAGGAGCACGGGAGTGGTTTTAGGACTCTCTCTCTCGTCTTGGCTATGCTTTTATTTTATTTGTAGAGATGAGGTGTTGCTACGTTACCCAGGCTGGCCTCGAACTCTTGGGCTCAAGTGATCCTCTTGCCTTGACCTCCCAAAATGCTGGGATTACAGGCATGAGTCACTGCGCCTGTCCTTGCTATGCTTTTAAAATCCTTCAGCGTGGCACAAATGCATTCCCTGGTAATTTACCCTTCCAGCTTCACCATGATATTAACTGACTTGGGTTGCTGTAACGACACAGACTGCACAAGCCATGGGGATCGAGTTCCCACAGCTCTGAAGTCATGGAGTCCTGTATTAGAGTGTTGTCACTGGGTTCTGGTGAGAGCACTCTTCTAGTCTTCTTGTCCCATCTTCATGGGACTACCTGGGAGAAAATAAGGGATGTTTCTGGTTCCAAGTCCAAAGGTTTCCAGAAGGATCTCTTACTGGTTCAGGCTTTGTCGACTGGAGGGCACTGCTGTGGCATCACTCCTTGCCAGTTGGGCAGTACCTTTTTTTTTTTTTTTTTTTTTGAGTTGGAGTCTCACTCTGCTGCCCAGGCTGGAGTGCAGGGCCATGCTCCCGGCCACCACAGCCTCAACCTGCTGGGCTCCGGCAATCCTTCCGCCTCAGCCTTCCAAGTAGCTGGAACTACAGGCATGCGCCACCACGCCTGGCTAATTTTTTTGATTTATTGTAGAGA